TCCCTCCTCCTTCATTGCTAGGAAGCTTCAGTGGACCTACATCCAGCAGCTTTCTCCCTTCTTTACAAAAGTATCTCTTAGTCTGCTGCATGATGGGAAAACGGACAGCCAAAGTTGTCTAAAATAGATCTAAAATAAAAGTGAACTATAAATGCATGGGCTTTGTGGCCTCTACGTTGGTACTGGGGGAATTTCTTTTCTTTCCGTCCTTACTCTTCATCATATGATATTCCAGATTTGGAGACTGAGGCATTTCTGTATCTAGTTCATGCCTATAATGCTACAAAGACGATATCATAAAGGAAAACACACACTCTACGAACACGGACGTAAAGTGTTCGAATGGCTTTCATCAAATTAGTTACTTTGAGAGTCTTGGTACTCATTCCAAATATTTTGGACTCCCATTCTGGCACGGCCCTCAAGGTTAATTCATAAGAGACACCTTTCAATCACAGCCCATTTTGACCTAGGCTCAGTCACCTACTTTATTCACCAGACTGGGAGGTGCATGACTTTCAGGTGTATCTAAGAAAAATCGAAGGGACCCTCCGAGCTTAAAGATTTGCCACCAGTGAAAAGTTTCACTAACGAAGGCAGTCCAAGTGACACAGATTCAAAAGGCATTTCGAGCAAAGGCAGCCATCACTGCCTGAGGTGACTGTTTCTGAAAAGCAATTCTAGAATACTCCTTGGGATAAATTAGGGCACATAGGTTAAAAAAAAATAAACGTCTAGTTACATTTTGAAAAATATAAGTTCATTCCCATTGCCTAAATGGAGATGAATATTCTTTTTGGACACAAAGCAACTCGTTGGCTTTGAAGCCTCTCGGAAAAGCCAAATCGAGCTTTTTGCCCCAAGAAGCCGTGGATAATGACTTTCTGCAAGCCTCTCTGCTGAATGCCTTTCAAAACTTTACACCCGCCACAGCTGTTTCAGGAATTAGGGAGGAGGTCTGCACGGCCTCCGTGGGCTTTAGATTAAGAATTTCCTATGGCAGCTGTCCGAAGAAAATGGAGACCCGAGGCGTGACGATTTGCTACACGTTATTCTTATCCCTAGATGGGAGAGTTCTGAGCAGAACTCCCCCAGCCCCACGAAATACCTCAGTTTCATCTTTTGAGTGTTCAGACCCTTGACTATTTTGGAGTAAGATGTGATGTTCCCACCGAAGTTATTCTCAAAAGCATATCCTCGGCCTCGTGACCACGGGTGCTGGCTTCCTGTTACCTGGGTTGGGAGGAGACATGGCTGCTACCCAGTATCCCAACTGAGGGGCAATGTAGGTCCACGTCAGCTGGCTGCCTTCCTGGTGCACGAGGCCTAGACCACTCTTTAGCCACGTTCCTGCGGGGTGCAGAAGAAAAAAAAAATAAAACTTCAGCTCTAGGCACGCTAAACTCCTACTTAAGGCTTAAGCATAGTGGACACGTCACCTTAAATGTCACTTTTATAGCCATTAGATAGCCAGATCGGTTCAGTTGTCATCTAGGGGCTGCAAACAGCTCTCCGTAGATTCATTTTAACTTCCTTCAGGGGCAAGCCGAACAACTTTAGTTTTTTAGTATTTCTTTGCCTTCCTTAGTAAATTCCCTTCAACCATTTAATCAAACATCACTGCTTCCAGACACAGATAATTGTAGCAGAAGCCTCTGGAGTTTAGGACAATCAAGGTAGCCTGAGGGGGGTTGGTGGGAGTGGAAAGAAGGGGGCTGGGAATCCAGTAATGTTTGTATTTTTTATCTTCAAAAGCAAATAAGTGAATATCCTATCTGGAATCAGACACTGGCTACATCAGAATTACTAGGGCAAGTTTTATTTTTATTTTTTTAAAGTTAACTCCTTGGTCCCATCTTTGCAAATTCTGATCCAGGAAATCTTGCTTAGATGGATATTTTTAAAAGGTTCCAGTTGGTCTCGATGCTAGGAAACACAGATAGGCGCAGGTTTGTGTGCCGTCTTCCAGGTATTCCTTTAAGTAGAATTTAACATTAACGAGTGAGCACTTTCCATGTAGCCTACTCACAGTAGAGGCATTTTATAGACAGTTGTCCCTCGATATCCACAGGAGATTGGTTCCTGGACCCCCGCTGATACCAAAATCCGAGGATGCTCAAGTCCCCTAGATCAAATGGTGCAGACCAATGGATACAGCCGGCCCTCCACATCTGCAGACTCCCAACCACAGATAAAAACCTGTACTGTTTTCAATCTGCAGATGTAAAGCCCATGGAAACAGGAGGCTGGCGGAAACAGGAGGCTGTTTATCTATACTTCTCACAATGACCCTACAGAGTTGGACTTATTCTCCCTTTCCGGATGAGGACACTGGTGAGCTGCGTAACTCCTCCGAGGCCTCCGGGAGGTCGGGAGCAGAGCAGGACACCTAGGTTGGTCCGTCCGTCTTTAAGACCGATGACCTTGCTTCTGCTCTCCTGCTGCAGCATCTCCTGTAAACCCTCCCAGCGTCTGATGACTTTGTACGGTTTCTAGGAGCAGACCCATGATCCGAGGTTGTCTGGCTGTCACCTGTCTCACCTGCAGAGAACCTTGCTTTGAGGACCGTGACGGAGGCTGGCAGCAGAGGCAAGGGAGAGCACTGGCCAGGCCCTGCACCGCCATGTGCACACCCGCCCCACTCGCCAGCAAGGAGACATCATCGGGCACCTACTGCTCTGCCTCAATGCCCACCGTGCTCCTGCCCAGCTCAGCTCGCTCCCACAATCATCTGCCACCGGAAATGGCCACGCGTGCGGCCCTGTCTGCTCCAGAACTAAATGCACTGACCGTGCACCAAAAATTCTATCCTCGGGGCTCCAAATCCTTGCCTTGCTTGACTACACACGTCACAGAGGTGGCAATCATGGATTTTTTTTTTTCTTCCCCCTGAAGAAAGAAACAATAGTTGGGGCTGCTTCTAGGGCCTATCGGTTGCCATAGTAACCCTCGAATGCGGATGGCAAGGTGCGTGGCGATGCCTCCGAGCTTGCACACCAACTCCACCGCTCAGATCGCGCCCGAACAAAGGAGGAGGACGGGGAAAGCCGGGCGGCCGCACGCACCGCACCGTCTGACCTTCCCGTGCAACGGGCTGAATCACGGTCCCAGTTAGACACAAATACAAGCCGGGAGGTTTCTAAAGCGAGTGTGAGAACCAAGATGCCCAATGCTGACTCGCTCTCTGAAGAACACGAACCCAGAGGTGGTTATGCCAACTCACAGCATCACTTACTTCTGCAGGGCCACTGAGGAAACAGACACATAGGACGATCGATTGACACGGGAAGTGAGAGGGTTTCTGTGCTTGGTCCAGAAGTTTCCCTCAAGGTAGAGAAAGGAGCGTTGGTGACCGGTGGGTGTCCCTGCACAAGGGGACCCCGGGCCGTTTAGCTCCTGGCTGAACACACCACACCCCGTTCCCACACAGCTTCTCCCACAATAGCAGCCCTGCCGGGAGGGGCTCTCCATATCAGCCAGGAAGTGGCCTTGCATTCTTTGGTTTACAGTTTTCCCCAGATTAGAGTCTTGAGTCATTGCTCTTTGAATGGAGCGGATGCTGGGTTAGGCTAACGGGGACCCAGAGGGAATGAGCTGGACACTCAGAGTCCTAATTCCTGCTCACTCGAGGGCGAACCACCTAACTGGATCGCTACGTTGCCTCTGCCTTTTACAATGCAGCACATCGAATAGAAACTTTCCTAATACCTCCCAGTTACACTGATGGCAAGCTGAGTGTGTGGACACACACACATACACGCACGCGCGCCACCCAGCTAACAAGTCCCCACGGCCAGCCTGGAGGGCCCTCTGTCCAGCAGTGGCGCTGGTGATGCTGGCGGGAGCCAGAAAGGCTACTGATGAAAGCTCACACAGCTGCTTTGGGAGCAGGAGGAGGAAGGAGTGGGTGGGTGCGCCAGGCTTCTGGATGAGCTGAGCTCTGAAGAACAGGCAGGGCTGTCAGTTGGGGGCATGGGGAGGGAAGATGGAATCACATGCACACGGGCTTGTGAGCTGCAGGGGGTGGGATGGAGGCGCAGGGGGCTGGGAGGGAGGGGGCGGCTGGGCAGGAGCTGTGAAGAAGTTCAGTGTCTGCCCGCTAAGGGCTGGACAGGGCTCCCAATGCCGTCAGCGCTGGGAGGCCACGGGGACCTGTAAGCGGAGGCGCTGCTGGTCAGAGTGCTCCTTGTCACCTCCCCCACTGCCACGCCCCCCGTCCCACCCTTGTAGTCCTTCCAGGGTGGGTCCTTGCGGCCGCCGGGCATGCTCTGACCCAGGCCTGCAAACTCGCCGGCCTCTGTTGCTCCAACCGCACACAGTCTCTCTCTCCTCCCCAAACCCTCGCCGTCTCACAGGATCCAAGTCGCACCACGTGTTCTCCCGAGTTCCTCCAGCACTCAAGGATCTTCTACACCTGGGCATCCCTAGGACGCGTGTCCCTGCGTCATCGGTTTTTCTGGAAACGTCCGTCGCCTCGGTTGCTACCACGTTGTCCTGTCTTACCTCTTCTAAGAGGGGGCCGGCTCTTACTTTCCATTGTCTTTCCTCAGCGCCCAGAAATATCCTGGGTGTAGGAACTCAGTAGTCCTTGAGAATGAGTGAGAGCTGGACGGGCAGTCCTCAGAATGATACCAGGTGACCTTCTGTGAAAAGCCGGGTGTGGCCGGCGGGAAGGACCTTCTGAAGGAAGTGGGCTCGGATCAGGCTTCTGCCCTTTTCAACTAAAAGGAACGGGCCCAGCTGGGGAAGGGGCGTTTATTTTTGCCCAGGTTTTCCGTGACAATGTATCCACGTTTGGGGAACCGGGGTGGCGCGGCCTTGGGATTTGACAATCACGCTGTTAACTGGCAGAAGCCATTTCCAAGCGTCCTGGGTTTCACGGGAGGAAATCGGTGACAGAGAACACGAGGGCGGATGAGCTGCGCACGAGAAACCACCTGCGGTTCTCGCGGCCGAAATCCTGGCGCTGCGAGCTCCTGGGTCAGAACATCCGCCGAGGGCTGCCCTGGCTCAGCCTGGCTCCTCTGTGATCCAGACACAGAGCAGCCCCCAGGGCACAGCATCTGCCCGGCCGCCGCTTCATGCCTGTGCTTCTCTCCCTCTTCTCCCATTAATTCCTTTGCCGCGGACTCGCTCGGGGTCCTGGACACAGGTGGGCAGTGAAGGCAGCCGCTGGGACCTGCGGTGTGTCCAGCTGGGCCGCCTGGCGAAGGGGTGCAGCGAGGACCCTGCACTTTCCTCGTGCCCTTCCCCGCTGGCCCAGCTAGGCTGCCACCTTCTTCACGCCCAGCGGCTCCTGCACAGAGAGGCCGAGGCCAGCTGTGAAGCGGGTCTGTCCTAAGTAGGCTGATGGCCCTCGGAGCCTTTGCTCTGTCCAGGGTCTGTGGCCTGGTTATTACGGAGACTGTACGTGTGTGAGGTTTAGATAGTTATCCTCTAGGCGTCATCAAGGAATGAAATTCTGCATTACTGAAATTTCTAGAACACAGGTGTTCAAAAAGTTTTTAAAGCATGTCAACTCTTTAATGTTCTTTCTCTTTTATGGAATCTTGAGAAGTGACTACACAAAACAGATAAAAGATCAGCTTTTCTGCATGGAATAGAAATCTCCCTTCCCGCATGGCAACCCCAACGAGTCTTCTCTGCAATTTGGGTCTTGTTAGCCCACACTTGAGAAGGCAGGTTTCTATAACTCTAAAAACCATCACTTACTCCTGCCTAATAAAGCAGAATGTGATTTTGATTTTTCATAACTCGTGGTCGTGATTACGGTGAACTACAATGCTAGGCTCTAAAATGCTATGTCCTTAGGGTCCTACTGAAGAACATTGAATTATTTGTTCTTAAACTAAATACCCCTACTCCTAAATGCACCCGCTCCCCCTCCCTCCTTCCTCCCTCTGTGCGGTTATCAAGGTGTCTACTATCAGCTCTGCTACCTCCACTTCTAAATGCACCCGCTCCCCTTCCTTCCTTCCTCTCTCCCTCCCTCCTTCCTCCCTCTGTGTGGTTATCAAGGTGTCTACTATCAGCTCTGCTACCTCACCACTCCCCGCCCAGGGAGACCTGCTTCTGGGAACTAGATAACCCACCTCACCAAGACTGTCTCTGGAAGAATGTCCACAGGTGGCCTGAGGGACTGGGGAACAAACCCGGCTGTGGAACAGCGATTTGAGTTTCGGATCTGAGTTCGGCAGGTTTTTTTTCCTCCAACGCTACACTCACAGATCAGTTTCTGTGTGAATCGTCATCCTCTAGAGTTCGACCTTACGCAACAGGAAGAGTTAGAGATATTTTCAAGGATAAATCTCTTTTGAGAAAGAGCTACGTATTCGGCTGGCAAGGGTCATTGGGTGTTAAAGCGTCTCGAGCTCTCACCTTGGCAGCTGCATTTAGCTATAATGTCATCACACACACTATTTGACAGGCAGGAAAAGATAAGCCTTGTGTTCCTCTGTAAGGCCCGGTGGGGTCTCATCAATCACCAAGGGTCCTGCTTTCCCGCTTGGTTACCAAGCAATCACAAAATCAGCTTTTATTTGCGAAATATAAAGAAAAGTGAGTTCAAAAAGGTAATAAATGGCTATCGAAAGGGAAAAGGATTCTAAAACATGGACAAGGGCCCAAAACGCAACGTCTGAATTGAATATGACCTCTAGGGCCCAGATTTACCTGGTGTTTCCTGCCTAGACGCCCCTATTTTAGCAGCCAGGCTACCTCATCTCAGCATTTGGGAACAAGCAGAATAATTGGATTTGAGGAGCACAATTGATTTTGAAAAGGAAACCAGAAGCGACAACCCACCGTGTACCAGAGTACAAACTGAAGTGGGCACCTCGCACCGCAGCCGGTGTCCAGGGACGCGAGTCACTGCTCTCACGCTGAGACCTGTCGCCGCGTCCGACGGGCCTCAGAACACTGGGCAGATAAAAGTCCAGCCGTAAAGGGTCTACTGGCCGCGTGGACGACTTTCCCATCCGTAAGATAATCCCCAATGCGAATCCCAGCTCTGCCCCTCTCTAGCCGTGCGAACCGAGGGCCTCTGCCCAGGATGGCACAGCAGAGAACATGGTGGTCCCTGGTGACACCGCTGAGCCCCCGAGGCAGTCGTGGGCCCTGGGGCTCCCGTCCCTTTCGTCACGTCAACAGCGGACACCCTCCAGGTCTGAGCACTGGCGGTGGCCTTCTACTTCATGCGGCTAACACGCTTGGATATATTTTTCCTGAGAGAAGCTGGAGCGAGTTCTACTCGATTTAGGAGCTGAAGCACATGAAGGAATTCCACAGCCACTCAGAAAACCCATCTCAAAAACGCTCTGCCGAGCAAAAGGTGAATATTCACACTGCGCAACACAGCCATTTCTACGCTTACGCCGAAATTTTCACTGTGAAATATTTGGGGACATTTATGGTGAGAGGTGATGAGACACAGGCATGCACTAGGACAGTAGGGACCCACGGTTGGTTGTCTTGCCTCTCGGCTGTTGGCTATGGCCAGTGACTCTCTCCTCGCTGGGGCTGTGGTGACTCTTGCTGAGTAATCGGCATGGCCAGGGATGAGCAGCAGCTCATTTGAGGGACAATCTTCTTAAGAGCCACGGCTAGTGCTTATTACTATTATGATTATTGTTAATTTTAATCATAAGGCCTCTCCAGATCCCCAGATATGCTGAATTTCTCTAGAAACTAGATGACTTACTTTTCCAAGCTTTCATTTGTATTACCTTAAGCTTCGACCTCTACTATATTTTTCTACCAGTTGTACCTTCAGGAGTTTCAAGCTCTAAGTCTCTTTTATTGCATGCTTTAACAAAACTTGGACAGGATCGCTCACTAAAATCAGAATAGAAGAATCCATCAGTCTAAACCACATTCATCATTAGAGCTGA